TAACATGTCAATGAAAATCTCCCAAGGGACAGGTCCAAGGAACAACACTGATTACAATGCAGATCTTTCACATGGGAACAGAAAATAACTTGGAAAGGGTTGTCGAAAGCATTATCGTGCCTGATATATTCTTTGGGAATATCGCGAAATTGTTAACCGCCAAACCCGCGCAAGAAACAGTTGTAAATAATTTTCCTTGAGAGAAAGATGTGATGGCTGTTTACCCAACAGGCTCTGGCAAAAGCATGATTTTTACTGTGTTTCACTGTTTGCGTTCACCAGACAAGAATTGTGGTGCTTACGAGAACCAGTATCATTATTATTTCGCTGTTTAAGAGCATCATCAACGACCACATTTCAAAAATATTATCGAACGGGTGAACTTCACATCAATGGAATTGTTGTCTGATGTTTTATGTCCTTTTCTTGCTTGACGACTTCAATCTGGCAATGAAACGGTCATTGGCAATAAACGTTTACATCTGCTTGAATCATCAGAAACTTTGATCGCTGCTTGCTTCTCTTTCCGTAAGCTCAAGTAGATGAAATTATGAAGTTCAAAAGCATTTCTTATTTTACGTGCACAGGCATGGCACATATGATCAGATGATGTGTCTGATCTTTCTATTTCTAGACCAATTTTAGATTTCTGACAAAGTGCCATTTTGAAATCCTTCACCCTTAGAGACCTTGAAAAGGTTTTGCATTATACATTCTCCGAATTTGATCTTGAGCGGACAACAACAAAGTCTACAATAATTATCGTTTACGCTTCTCTCGATTCCTTCCTTGACAGGCTCTTTCAGCGTATTTTCCTTCACTGCCATCAAACAAACACCACATTGAATAGTTTTGTTTTGATAGACTCTACAGTATCACAGTGACTTTTCCCTGCCACGTTGGCTGGAGGTTTCTTATTACAATCTATGTTCTGATTAGCTGTGTTANAATTTTCCTTGAGAGAAAGATGTGATGGCTGTTTACCCAACAGGCTCTGGCAAAAGCATGATTTTTACTGCGTTTCACTGTTTGCGTTCACCAGACAAGAATTGCGGTGTCTATGAGAACCAGTATCATTATTTCGCTGTTTAAGAGCATCATCGACGACCACATTTCAAAAATATTATCGAACGGCTGAACTTCACATCAATGGAATTGTTGTCTGATGTTTTATGTCCTTTTCTTGTTTGACGACTTCAATCTGGCAATGAAACGGTCATTGGCAATAAACATTTACATCTGCTTGAATCATCAGAAACTTTGATCGCTGCTTGCTTCTCTTTCCGTAGGCTCAAGTAGATGAAATTATGAAGTTCAAAAGCATTTCTTATTTTACGTGCACAGGCATGGCACATATGATCAGATGATGTGTCTGATCTTTCTATTTCTAGACCAATTTTAGATTTCTGACAAAGTGCCATTTTGAAATCCTTCACCCTTAGAGACCTTGAAAAGGTTTTGCATTATACATTCTCCGAATTTGATCTTGAGCGGACAACAACAAAGTCTACAATAATTATC